TTATATGTAGAGATAAATTTTTGAATCAAACATTATCACGTGACTGCCGATTTTTTATGGCACTACTAACCTACTATTATCCCGCATGCGTTTGATTTATTCGCACTTTTATAAGTTCATTCAAGGTCTTTCCTATCGTGACTTGAGAGCTTTTTATAACACTGTTTCTAGAGTGATATCTGACATGTCTTCACCTTGGACTTATCCTGTGACTAGACGTGACGAGTCTATTGTCGAAGAATTACACGGCTACAAAGTTGCCGATCCTTATAGGTGGCTGGAAGACCCTGACTCTGAAGAAACAAGGGTAAAAAGTTACTGTGCGATTTCGACTGTCATAAATGTTACCAATAAACGTTGCTAACTCTCGAAATTTGTTTAAATGCAAGGCGTTTGTTGAGGCTCAAAATGCTCTTACGAACAAGTATTTGGAATCTTATCCTTATCGCGAAAAGTTTCGTGAAACGTATGCTTATTTCTTTAGATTTATACGTTTATATGCCAACTAAACTCTATTCACTATCTAATTTCTATCTAATTTAAATACCTTAGCCTAACTAAAATTTATGACTATGAAAAGTATGGTTGTCCTTTTAAATATGGAAGTCACTATTATTACTTTTATAATACCGGTTTACAACCTCAAAGGTATTAGTTAATTTGTATATTTTTTATCTTTAAGTTAATATGATTTATTTATCAAGATCATTATCATGATTTATAGTGTCTTATACCAATTGAGAAACTCCCTTGATTCCCCACATGAAGAATTTTTCAATGCAAGTATTTTTAATTCTATTTTATTTTTTTTTTATTCGATCTTTTTAACAATTCTCTTATTATAATTTATAGCCAAATGTTCTTGAAGCAGATGGTACCGCTGCCCTTAATACGTACTCCTTTTCAAAACATGGCAAATACTTTGCCTATGGCATCTCTAAATCGGGTTTGTATTATCCATTGATTACTGGCTCTTCAATATTATGTATATAAATTTAAATTATCTATTATGTTTATATTCGCTCGTTATTTTCAGGAAGTGATTGGGTCACAGGATATGTGAAAACAACTGACAAAAACGAATTACCATTGGATGATGTGATTGAATGGGTTAAATTCTCATACTTTAGTTGGACCCATGATGAAGCTGGTTTTTTCTATAATGTACTTTTA